CCCAGGTATTCAAAAGTTGGTCCCACGGTATGACCAATGTCTCAATTCCGGTGGCGAATATGTTGAAAAATAGCTGGACACTTGCTGTATCTGTTGCAATAAATATTTCCATGAAATTGTGTTTTGTTTCTGTAAACGGCCCCAGGGAAACTTACTTTGTGGACGAGCCTCGTATAAGAAATACATTCTGTGCAAGATAAACTCAAATTATTTGCATACAAAACCATGAACAGACTATTTTACAGACTATTTTCGAGCATCCCACTAATCAGTAAAAATTTCATGTGGAAAAGTCACATGCCCCATATATCATGGTGGCCCACAAAGATTAGGACTACTATCAGATTCAATAAATCTAGACTCAAATTAAAACTTACCCTGGTTAAGGCATGCATTCCTGAGGTTCTGTAAAAGGTCTAATTTACATACTGAAGTTTTCTTAGAAGACAGAGAAAACTTCCCTTCAGATTTTTTTATTAAATTGTGCGAGGATAGCTTTATGGTTCCCCAGAAAAATAAAAGTCATTGTGAAGGGTCATTAAAGTGATAAGTTCAAATTCTGGGGCAACTTTTTTCGAGATTTTTACATATTATTTTTGTTTAGTGGTAGATCAGAAAGAAAAATAATGAATAATAAAACGTTTTCTGTTGCCAGCATAAACCAGCCAAAGTGAATAACTGTTCAATTATAAGTATCATACTTAAGATTCTTACAATTATACATGAGGTTTCCACAAAGGTGAAAATGTGGATCATGGTCTTCAGGGTTGTGAAATGATACACATCTACAGTTTTCTTCATAAAACCAATGAATATTCCAGATAAATTCTGAATTTCCATCATATATATATACTCACACCTCCATGGCTTTTTACCTCAGCGAAGCGTGTTCACTTTAAACTCTGATCAGTCATACAAAGTTTCAAAAAATATGTATATTTCCTGAAACACCTCCTTATTATAATTCTAACTATTGAAAGAACAAATCAATGCAATTAAACTCTGGATAATTGGAAGGATGACTATATGTAACTGTTTCGCTTAAAAAGATGAACACAAATGCATGAAGTTTAATTGTAACTCAGAAACTTGCTTTTAGTTAAGAGTTGGCATCTCCTAACTATTATTTGTGGAGAAATAAGACTTGGAAAAGAACCTTCAGATCTTCCAATATATTTCATCTACTGGACGCATTTCATTACATTTAAAAAATCAAGGTCACAAATGACATTATTTTCAATAAAAATGTTAAAATCCTTTGCACACATCTGGACTTAACCTAAACCTCATGGGATACATCCAGAATATCTTCATTACTACCACACACTCAAGAATGTGATGCCAATTAAATTATCCTTCTAAATCAATTTGGTCATGGGAGAAAATTTGGCATCAAATAAACAGAATACAACCTCATGGTCATGGAAGAAGAGGCACCACATACCTTATGTCCCCCCATCACCAAATCATTTATACAGTCACAGCCTTTTATGTAACAATTATTCACATACATATAGTACTTACCAATACTGTTGAATTTTCCACTGTTTCTGGTCAGCTTTTAATTCTACACAAGTGCCCCTTTTTGGTCAGATTAGGTAAGATAAATTCAGGAAGACACATACCAAGTATATATTTGCAAACAACATACAGAACACATCTTCCCCGTCTTTCTATGTTTGCGTTTGGGGATCAATCCACATAAATTGGTCCAGATACAGAGGGAGCCATGGGTATACTGAATATATTATAGTCATGGACAGCCAACAAGCAGTGGTCCTCAAACTGGATGGAGGGTAACAACTTCTCACCTCAAAAAAAGTGTATTAATATTTTACAGAGGGTCTCATTGTGGGCTCTTGTGAACAATGTAATTAACAGTAAGGCTTCAGGTTCTCATGGCAGTAAGTATGAAGAAGACTGTCTTCTGGGATGCTATGATATGTAGTCTGGCAGACATTTACCGGCATTTCAGAGGTACTTACTGCCTTCATCATAAGGAATGTAATCACCCTGATGATGGCGGCAGTACGCACCTCTGAAATGTCGGTAAACTTCAACCAGACTATATGGCATAACATCCTAGAAGACAGTAATCTTCAATGTAATGAACCTTCAGGTTCCATAAAGGCGAGGAATTTCCTGACCAGCTTACAATTATCAGCATCTCAGACAGGAATCTCCTCCATTGAGTCAGTTTATGACTAGACTTGTCTCTTTGATGCCTAATTTTGGTATTGGAAGGCTGCGTTTAAATTCCATTTGGTAAAGTTCAGAGCATGGAATTTGGACATTTTTAACCATATTAGGGCTGATTTCTGACATGAGATATCATGAAGATTTCTGTCTTTTGGGTTGTTGCGCTGTGTAGTCTGGTCGATGTTTACCAACATTTCAGAGGTCATACTGCCTCCATCATCAGGGCAATGAATATTCATCTCCCTGATGACGGAGGCAGTATGACCTCTGAAATGTTGGTAAACATCGACCAGACTACACAGCGCAACAACCCTGAAGACAGAAATCTTCATACTCATCGCCCTGATGACAGAGGCAGTATGACCTCTGAAATGTTGGTAAACATCGACCAGACTACACAGCGCAACAACCCTGAAGACAGAAATCTTCATACTCATCGCCCTGATGACAGAGGCAGTATGACCTCTGAAATGTTGGTAAACATCGACCAGACTACACAGCGCAACAACCCTGAAGACAGAAATCTTCATACTCATCGCCCTGATGACAGAGGCAGTATGACCTCTGAAATGTTGGTAAACATCGACCAGACTACACAGCGCAACAACCCTGAAGACAGACATCTTCATACTCACCGCTGTGACAACCTCAAATCTTACATGAGATATCATGTTATGTTTAGTATGAAAGGTAATACCTCAAATTCTACCAATAACAGGATATTTTATTCTAATTTTAATCTACCCAAAAGTATTATATAAAAGCAAGAAAATATGGAAAAAGACAAGAAGATATTATGAACTGAAAGATTCAGAAGAAGTATTGATAAGAGTAAAATTATGAAATAAGGTCAAAAATAAAGTATGTTACTTCATATTTGACAGTTTAGTTAGCACTCTTAAAAACAATGAGGATGTGATATGTTCCACAGATGTTCAATAAATTCTGAATGCAGTAAAATTCCAGAATTGCATGTGCAAGTAGCTGCTTCTCCATGCTCCTGCAGTGCTCACCAAGCCCCACTAATGTCTCCAATTGTGTGGCAACATAGGTAATATCAATACAGATACCATAAAAGAGAAATATATCATTGCTTTCATTCCCACATGTTGTAAAATAAACTACACGAACTGTATCACATGGACAAACAGGAGTTTAACCACTGAAGTCTGAGTGATGGAAAACAGGGAGGATAAGACAATACAGAAGCAGAGCAGCCAAGGCTGCTGATACTGAAATTTAAATCTGAATTTGTCAGTTACAGAACTTACATACGGTACTGATCCTTCCACAACCACATAATGCCAAGAGCATAGCCTAGTGACCTGCACCAGCAAATCTTCAGGCCTAAGCAATATGCTAGTAATTTTGCATGCACTATAAATACTAGCAAAAAAAAGTCTCAAAAACTCTACATGAACAAATAAGTTAACAAAGTTAAGAGTAGCAATGCAGGGTTAAACAAAGCATGCCACTCTTACCACTGGTGACCGTTGCATGTTGAAGTTCTGTATCATCAAATTCCAAATTAGGTTCGTAGTCATGGTAGTCAGACAAACTGGGATATGGATCCTCATGATCATTATGAGTGGCTGCAGAAAGCAGAAGATATTAAGTATCCCTGACATAAGAAACAAAACATATCTGACGCAATAGAGACACACAACAAACACAGGAATAATCACAAATTGGCATTACCACTGGTACAACAAAAATTTGTCAAACAGAAATATCTGACTGTAAAGTTTTCGTTTGCAAGAGTACAATCGATGAAAAGTTTCGTGCCTTAAAATGTGGAGAAAGTGCTTCAGAAAACGTACACAAACATATAATATTTTACAACCGCACGTCACGAAGACAACTACAGCATTTAACCTTTACGTAGCTCTGAACCCTACCTGTCAAAGCTCGAGATGGACTAAATTTTGGTTGATAATCTGCTTCCATTATCAGAATATTTCACTCAATAGGTTGCCTGTATTTAAACTGAATGCATATTAACTGCATACAACGAATCATTTTCTCATTACTTCCTTTGTTAATAATCTACAATCACGTCACTTGCCACTTTCTACGATGCTATGACTATTCACTAAACGGACGTAACTCCATCTTCGCAAATTGACCCACGTGTAATATGTGCTGCCATCTTATTCTTCAAGGAGAAATAACAGTAAAAGCCGATATTGATGACTCAATCGGCTGTGCTGTCTACCATTTCATTTCACATCATACCAACGAACTGGACATGCTAATTTTTATTTTGCTGTTGTCTGTGTCAAAATACCTTATCTTCTATGGTATTGACAGCAATTTAGGTGCGTTTGAAATACACTAATTACTTTTATCATGTCCGTCTTCCTGGAAACAACACAGATCAAATTATTGGGTTGACTCTGAATTTGGTTAGGCAGAATAATTTTGTTGAGCAATATCAATTTGGTTTAGTAGAATAGAACACAATTAAATGTATGTACGTTTGGTTAATAAAAGGGCACTTTTCTTCATTTCATGGTACAGGCAGTCAGACACTTCATTTTTGAGAGCATAAATAAAACTTTTATGTATTTCTTACCTGTTTCCAAATTCTGATATAACTTGATATGTGGTACTTCTCTTATATGAGTAGAAATGTGCGAGTTTCATTCACTTTAAACATTCTAATTCTTTATGATGAACCTAGCTGAATTGTATGTATATATTTTTAAATTTATAGTCCTAATAGGTGATGATGAGACTGGCTCTTTTTTAATATTACCGTCAGTTTCATTCACATAATTTTATTTAATGTGCCTAAATGGACCTCTACATATATTTTGAAGTCCTTTGACATGTTTTGTTTTGTTTATATGACATGTCCATTGCTTGCTTCAACATTTCATGGAATGTAATAAAGATGTCTGTATTTCTTAAAAGATATTTAAGAATGAGCTGAATTTTGAATCTATATCATGGACATTTAATGCTGAGTCCCAGTTTTCATTTCTTAACATCTTTATTTTCGTCTGACCTGTTTCCTGCGATTATGTTTATTGGACACTGAATCTGCATTTTTTATAACAAGAAGTTGTACATCATGATGAGATAGTCCATTTACCACAAATTCACTAGAAATATGATCTTTCCTGGAACTGTCTGCAAAAACAGTCAATGGCAGTAGTGGAGTAATTTTGAATTCTTGTGGGGAAGTTAACTATTGACATGAGATTGGAAGATGCTAGGAGGGAGCTTAGACATTGTGGTAAGATCATTACTACTAATGTCACCATAAATGAAACATTCTGCTATAGGTTTACAAAGATAATTTAAAATGCTTTTTAACTTGTTTAAGAAAAGTACATCACCACCTGTGAGCTAGTATATACATGTTGGAGAGTTTAGATTCCATATAAAACTTCCATTCCCTTCATCCTTGTTAAGCCCTTTTTATGTAAAGGCCTAAAGAATGCTCCTTGCAGAGTAACTTCAAAATAAATTTAATATAAGAACCGAGTAAGACATGCTTAGAGAACTCAATAAATTATTACATTAAATTGAATACCCTCTTCCCATACAGTTAAGATCAATTAAATACAAGCAACAATTTTTTATCCCTGTATGCAGTGCACTATGCATCAACAACAGAAAGCTTGAGTCTATGTAGCATAGTATTTGCACTGCTGGCTAGCTCTGTCAGTGCAGATATACTTAAACCTGTATTCAATGAAATCAAGGCCAGCATAATTTTCAAATTAAAAATATGTGTACCACAAAGTGGAGTATACTGTTCAATGATACAGTAAGTAGTTCTTTATAAAAAGAAACTTTCTATCATAGCCTGCAGTATATTATTAATTTACTGGGTAGGTATCCCAAAACAAATGCAGTATATTTGTTTTAAAAACAGTATAAAAGCATTTTATTCATTATTAGCCAAATACAGCAACTGAATGAATTACTCTACACAACTTACAAAAAAAAAAAAGACAATTACGCATATACTTAGCTACTTTTATATTTCAATGAAATCATGTATCCAGTAATGAATGATATATCCCTCATAAGCTGCATTATAATTATAAATGTAACTGTAAGAGACGTTACAATGATTAACACTTGATATACATCTTCCTTAATATATAAAAAGAAGATACGATTATCAAAGAATGCTAGTCTGGACGAGCACTCTACAGTTGCTATGTGGAAGAAAGAGAAGCTGCATTAAAGTGTGTAAGTAACTAACATTATCCTGAACTTCTCCTTTAGTTGGGCATGGAAGCCTTTCTTCTTCTCTTTCGAGACCTGAAGGAATGGCACATTCTCTCACCAAGCAATCTGTCCTGTCCTGTGGTGGCCCTTGTAAGGAGTGTCTTCTTCCCTCCTACCCCTCCCCTCCATCCACCCCTACTCCTCCAGTGATTGGGCTCTCCATTGACCTGGTTCAATCTCTTACCACTTTCCATCCTGACTGACCTGTTCCTTCAGACTACTTCTGTCCCTGCCAACCTATATAATCCTTCTGATTCCTGGCACTGTCACTTCAGCCCAGAAGATGGAGACTGTACACTTATCCAAAATTCTGTCATGTACCGGCCAGTCCACATGATACCAGAACCCAAAAGATCATCATCAACATCACCATCATGAAAACCTCAAATCTCACATGACTTTACAAGTTCACAAGGTTCAGCACATAACAAAGGTTACATACCAAATGTGTTGGATTTTCATAATTCTAATGATATAGATTTTCACCACTGAAGCTCCAATATTTCATTATCATAACAAAATCTTGGAAGAAAATCTACATATTACACAAGTAATGAATTATTGTCTTTTGTTTAAAGAAGTGTGTTAACAGAAGGTTAATTTTTTCTAAAGCTCTATTATCATATACAACTTCATATTTATTTATGCGATGAAGAGTAGTAATAACGCATGTGACTCACATTTAAGAGGCATCCTATTTAAATCCTGGTCTAGAACCGAATACCTTGACAAAAGCTTTCAGTTGTTTTCCTGAGTCCCTCCAATTTAAAACTGGAATATTACCAGACATGTGCTGCAGGGACTTGGAGGAGTTCATGAATAGATCTTAGCTACTTTTTGGTTAATTATCAAAGCCCTTTGTTACTGGTACAGGAAATATCAAATGATACAAATAATACACTTGTAATATTGCCTATCCCTACTTCCAAATGCCAGATTTTATTTAAAACTATTCAAAATGAAAAGGAAAATATGGCTTGCTGGAGCAAGCCTTTTGTTAAATTGGCAGCATGCCCTAAATACTACCTTAAAAACAGACCGTAATCAATTCTTATCACATCCTTTATAATTTACTCTATATACTCAGTTTCTCATTATATTCAGCACAAATTAGCTATGCAGTTGATATAGTATTACTAAATGATCTATGAACCAATAAATCTGCAAATAACAGTGTTTGTGTTTTAATATACTCATACTTTTTAACTATAATACTATTAATAATAAACCTAGACCTTAAAACATTACTGATACAAAACTTACCCACATATAAATCTTACTTCTTAAGTCACTAAGTGTTTCACCACATGACTGTCATTTTCAGTGAAATACAACATATATTTTTTAAACTAACAGTTTAATATTAGATGTCTTCAATCAGTTTCATAATTAAATTAGTATATTACAAAGTACATGCATCTCAATGAGAATGTCAGTCAGTTTACTATGGCTAAAACATTCAGTTGGAATGCTTTATACATTTAATAAAAACTTATGCTAAATAAAATGTTTTATCATTCCCTTATTTCACAATATTTACATAACAGTCTTGTTTATCTGCTGAATGTTCTTAATCCTTAAAAAGTCCAACTGTGTGTCCAAACACATAATGAAACATGTGTTACACTGTATGGATACTGCACGACTTTCACATTTCGTAGAAATGTCGTGTCCTTCGGATGAGCGGCACAATTATCAACAAACAGCAAAATCTTTCTGCCTTGTGCGCCCATGGAGGCATCCAGAGAACTTAAAAACGCCGTAAAGATGTCTGTTGTCATCCAAGCCTTTTTGTTGGCGTGATATTTCACCGGAAGTTTTTTCATGTTTTTGAAACAACGCGGTTTTCGTGATTTTCCAACTACAATCGGAACCCGTTTGTCACTACCGTCACTGTTAACACACAGAAGAACAGTAATTCGGTGTTTTGCACGTATTCCCCCGTGGCAAGATTCACCTTTCAATGCCAGAGTCCTATCCGGGAGGGCGTTGTAGAAAAGTCCGGTCTCATCCGCATTATAAATGTCCCGCGGCTCATATCCCTCCAGCAGTGTTGGCAGTCTCTCGAGCCACAGCTCCGTTATTTCCACATCCACAGCAGCACTTTCGCCTTTCCTTTGTCCTTGTAATAAAAGCATTTGTGAAGAAATTCACACTGCACATGCCATCTGGCATCGCTGGAACGAAATATGAGTGCACCCTAATTAAAATCGTAAAATTTCTGACAATGAGCACCGCCATTCACTCCAATATCACCCCTGCACCGCTGACCCTCATTCCAAAAGAATGTGCTGGTTGGGCGACATAACAGGTTACCGCTACTGTTTATTCCAAAAACATTGTGCGTCTTTCGGAATTAAATTCTAAAAATATCACGTAAATTTCGTTACAATTTCTCAGAAACGATCATTGCGGGAAAATTGTGTGCTGGGACTAAGATTTTTTAAGGATCGATGCGATAAAACGATAGTTCGAGGAACGATAGAAGCGGGAAAATGTAACATTATTTTATATGGGATGTATTCGGGACCGAACAAAACGGACGATGCATCCGGGAAAACGATAGTTCCGGGAACGATGGATAGAGGTTTCACTGTATCAGTAAAGTTTTAAGGTTTGTTAATGCTTATCACGTTTTATCTCAATATAGTGCATGGCTATGATATTGGTGTGCCTGAAGGCAGTGGTTCAGTAGACGCACTTGCAAGTGTTGACTGCAATGTACTCAATATACAGATTAATGGAAAGGGAATTTAAAATTTAATTTTATGGTACAGAAAACTTACATTTACAAATATGTTAAGATGTTGCATCCTAGAACTACAGTGCTGATAAAACGTTACAGATGTGCTACAACAGATACAGAATTTTTAAGTATAAACTGGTTGGGACATCATCTTTGGTCAATTTCAAGTATCACATCCTGGGTTAGAATGTTGCATGGGCTGTTCATAACGTCTATAGATAGTGTTGGCATGTATACTGGTCTATAAAGCAAATATTCTATATACAGGATAATGAGAAATTTACATGCGATTTACTATGGCTTCCTTAACCCTTCAGTAATAGCAGATATTTTAATGGTGTCCTACCCTGTGACACAGGAGATTTAAACCCCACATACCTGGTCTACACCATGTATACAGGCTGGTATCATGTGATAAAACTGAGGTCTATCAGGTATGAAGGCTGGCACTGAAGAGTTAACCACGAAGTTACTACAATCATCATCAGTATGATAACCAGACATAACAAAATCAGCAGATCTAACTCTTCTTGTACATAAAAACAACACCTGACATAATACAAAAAGTGGCATGTTTAAATGTTAAATATCTTTTTCATGAAATTAAAAATATATAAACAAAAAACTATTTTGTAAGTGATTCTTTAATCTCCACACTTAATGGCTTAAGCATACTTAATATTTGGTGTCAATATAATAAGTGGGGAAAAGACAGCACAGGCAGAACATAGCTATGCTGAGATCACAACAGATGGGCACATATTTGTTCTTCAGACCTTGTTCCTACAGCTAGTCATAAAAAAGATGAATAATATGAGTATCATTTAGTACACCACAACTGAAAAGTAAAATAGATGTAATTGCACTTGTTACAAGTCTTTTATGTGATAGCACTTTGTAATGACCTTACAGATTAAAAATTAAAGAGTTTCTGATTAAAAATATTGAGTTGCAATTAACACATTAAAAAATGAAACGGACTAGCATGTTTTAATTATGAATATACAAAGCTGCTCTTCAATACAACTTTTAAAATCATACATGTATGATCCACAACATAAACAAAACAATCAGATTTTATTACTGATTTCAATATTTCATTATACAACTTTCTTAGAGCACATACTTCATGAGTGCCACTTCTGAGCAGAAAAATTATTTTTACACTTGGTATTGCTATAAATAAATTTACACTATGTAGTAAATACAAATGTTAGCATATTATGTCATTAAGTACTAAAAGTGAAAACTGAAAAAGAAATTGTATAAGTTCCTACAGAAATGCTTAATTTCTAAAAAAAAGAGGCACACAGCAAATTAATGTTTGTTAACATCTCTGTTTTGTAAATTGTATAATAAAATAATTAGTTTGGGCAGGTTCACTGGGACTTTACTGTTACAAATAAAATATAATAAAGATCACTGAGTGATGAGAGTGTTGAATTTCACTTTAAATGTCATAAAAATTCTAAGTTCATTGAGACATTTTTCTCCAAATAAAATAAAATAATTAAATGTATTAATTATGCAACAGTGAACCATACAAGAGTTATTTAAATTCATTCCATTGTCAATATATACATATATAAAAATGTAGTAACCACATTGCAATTCAGAGATAAGAATAGTCCCATGCACATTATGTAGAACAGCATAAATTCTTGAACAGAGAGAAAAAACTGAATACCTGAATTAACCTCTTCAAAGACAATGATGGTTTACAAGCAAGAAAACCCAACAGCAATATTTTGCTCCTCCACCTGTAATTTTTTTTGCTGATCATATTCAATGAAACAATATTCAGCTACTGTTTATCTATATTACCACATCAAACCATTCAAGTCTTTCTCACAGTTCATCACTCTAAAGTGTAATTACTCTTATGCCAGATATCAAGACTGACTGACACCAATTCAAGAATGAGACACTATTTATCTGCAGGACTCAAAACTGATGAAAATTTCTACAAATGTTAGTAGGAATTTCTGTAAGCACAAATAATGGGCACAGTCATATGACCTGTGAATCATAAAATCATTGTGAAAAACCTTCAATTGGAATATTATCAAATATTGCAATACTGTTACAGGCGAACAGACATTCAAACACACACACGCTCACTACCCTGTATTTTTCACATAGTAAAACTACTAATTTTGTTATATGAATGCATGTTCTACAACTCACATTTTCTGGAATTATGAATATAATGAAATATACATTTTGACAGCTAACCCTTTGCGCATATCAAAACAAGGCAATGGGAATTAATTTTAAATCTTGGTAAAAAAAAAGACAGATAAAAGGATAAATGCAGTAATGCAAGTATAGCTTCACATAATAGTTTGTTATAGAGAGATATATTTGGATTATAATGACAGTAGGTAGCATTAGGTAATGAAAATTAAATCTATTGTTATAACAAATGGCTGAATTCTGTGATTGTACAATTGCAGAATTAGTGTGCTCAGCCATCATTTCTGTTCAGTTGTCACAAATATAAGCAAAATAATATGAAGGACAACACAACATTATGTTTCACAACTTTTTAGAATTGTGTGTTATCCAGTATCCTTACACACACACATATACACATATGCAGCCTTATAACAAATGAAGTATGTATTCCTCAAGTACAATATTTTCTGCCTCTATTTAAAACTAATTAATTATATCTTTGTTTGTAATTATGTTATGGCTTCAGAATCTTTAACAACCATCAATGCCATGGTACATTTCATCCATGCTGCACATTATCACAAAAAGGGATATATAATCCTTGAAACTTCCTATGGTTTCATTTTTAAGGAAAATATAAGCATTATGTTTAGGACATGAAAAATACATACATTTCACAACTTGGCAAGTAAACCCTTACACAGCATAGAATTACACATGCGATTCTTTCCTCAAAGGTGTCAGCCGAAGCCCCTTTGCAAGCATCTGTGCTTCAAGGTCCCGATCTTCTTCTTGGTACCTGAAATAAGAAGCATTTATTTGTAAACAACTGAGCAGATTCAGAATTATTATGTTCAAATGGCAATGGCCAAAACAATTTTCTTTTTCACCTTAACTATAAAAATCTTACTTCAAGTTAAAATAGTATATACTTTTATATTCACAAACATTACTAATCAGTGTGAGTTACAATAAACATATCAATATTTTAGACCATAAGTGATGTCACATTACTATTCATAAAACAGCTATAATACCGGGTCTACAATTTATGCTGTAACGGCCTTGCTTGCATTGCGTGCTCGGCCGAGTGCACTGTTGGTGTGGGATAGAGATAGCGTGTTATTCCCGTGAGTCACAGGTGAATCAGTTTCATTGCGTCTCTCGTCGCGGATTGACGTTGATAATATGGTGTACAGTATTAAGCAACGTGTGTTCTTAGTCGAAACATATGCCAAATATTCATCCTACGGAAGATGCCGCCGTAAATATCGCAGACATTTTCCCGGTGAAAGTGTTCCTAGCAGGCCCACGATAGAGAGATTAATAAAAAAATTTTGTAGTACGGGATCAGTTTTGGATAAAAAGAAGAACAGGAAACAGAGTGTATTGACGGAAGAGAAATTGGATGAAATTGGGGCTTTCTTAGAAAAAAGTCCAAGGAAATCTTTGGCACGTTTAGCTGCACAATCTGGCGTGTCATTGGGATCTGCTCACACAGCAACGAGACTTCTGAAATTGCGACCATATAAGACCACTGTTGTTCAGAGATTCACAAATCCTGACACTGGTGCTTGCCTGCAAGCACAAGGAAGTCACTTTGAACATCTTTTGTGATTTAAGGTAAGAACAATTAATGTAATAACATGTATTAGT